TGTTGATTGTCCTTGGTTCGATACGAAATACGTATTAAGAGATACACATACTTTAGTTTAGACCTATCGCACTTGTCGGGGGAAGTAAATAAGACTTATGTAGATAATTACGTTTAAAACAATTAACAAACACGAAATCAAGTTGTTCAATTTGTACTTTTGCCAAAGAAATATTTGTTAAACAAAGAACCGATAACTTGCAGCTAGATTATGTGTGTGCTTGTTTCACTCCGCTGTGTTTAATTGTTGTACGATTGAATTATAGTCTTATGCATATGCTTCATTTTGGTAATCCCCTCATACGACCTTAACGTTAACGTAGCATAATTGCAGCAGCGGCTGATGGCGATGACACACAAGACTTGAAAACCGAACCTAGGCTAATCTTAAATGTTAAATGCTAATGGAAATCGAAATCGAAACCGAACACGAAATAGAAACTTATGCGACTAAGTGTGTAAGTGTGCGTGTGTATAGAGCGAATTATTTGGCAGTGGATGTGAATGTTTTTATTACACTAACTGAGTTATGTATTTTATGTAGTCTGTATGGGTATATCTATAACTACAATTAACTGAAAGTATTGTACAGCAGTCGAGGGGAAAACAATAATTAACAGGCCGTAAGTTCATTCGAAACAAAAACGAATATAAATTAAACGCATAGTTTATAAACTCAAAGCATAAGCCGCCACTCAGAAAACTGTATAAAATGAGAACAAGTTCTTTGAAAAAAAATGATTGAAAAACTATGAAAATAATGCATATGAAACCTACTGCATTTTTAAAAAAGATCTGTTAACAAATGAATAATAAAACCATAAAGCGATGAATACCAAAAACGAAATGCATTTCCACTGCGGAACAAAGGGCCAACCGATTACAGCACAAAGGACAATTTAATGGCAAAACTTTCGAATCAATTTTCAGCGGCAGGACTCAAACAAAGGACGTTGGCTTTCCAGCCCAGAGATGAGACACTTTTCCCAGCCAGCCAAAGTTTTCCGGGGCAGGACGACTATCCGTCTTTGGCCGGGGTGTGGTGCAAAAAATTGAATTCCTTGTAAAACTTACGAGCTGGCATTAATTTTAACAGCATCTCGGTGGGCGGTGGGCGGTGGGCGATGGATGGGCGGGTCCAGGATGCCTCAAATTACGTATACGTCCCATTGAACGCCCTGCCGGGCACGGTCATGTGTGCGTACTCTCCGGGTCGGGCCATTATTCTCCCCTGACTGACTTTATGACGCTCATTCGATGGGCACAAATCGCAGCTCGTTTTTCATTTAAATGGGGGTTAATTAGTTCCGCCAAAAAACAAAGCGAATGCGAAAGAATATTCGTAGGTATAGCGTTCATCGCACATCGCACATCGAACAACAATGAGAGCGAAGCAAATAAAGGCAAATAAAATTTGGCCAAGAGTAGGGCGTGGCCAAAGGCATTCCTTGCTGCAATTGATTGATTTATTCCCTCTCCCGTTTCCGTTCCCACTCCACCTACTGCTCTCCACCTCTCCGCCCACTTTTACTTCTTGCTTTGGCTTTGGCTTTGGCTTTAGCTTCGACATCCACTTCGGCTTCATCAGTTGTTGCCGCAAATTGATTCAACAAACGGCAAACAAGTGAAGCCTGGCCATGATGGGCCTTCAATTAATAGCCATCCGGATGGGGCCAGTAAGTGCGGGCAGAGCTGCCAGGACACGAAACTTTATCGCACCGTAACTCGGCAACTGTCAGACGGCGGAATACTCGATTTGCCCTAACGAGCTATATGTAACGGATGGATATAAGATATTTAAAAAAACTCTCTAAATTCGGCTGAGGAGAACCGAAGGCTTAACTTTACTTTGGCCCTAAGTTGAAGAGCTGACCGTTCTCAAAAATATATTCCATTTGTGAAGTCAAGGGTTTTGCATTTTATATTAACAAAAATGGCTTACTAAAGATTGTATTGTAATAACTAAATGAAGCATCATTTCTGATCGTTTTCTTAAGAAAAGACTATAAAAGGTAAGAAAAAATGAAGAAAGAAAAAATTAGAGTTAGTTTCAATATTTTTTGAACACAAAATAAAGACTTTGAATGCATGGTTCTAAAAAACAAAAATAATAGCATCTAAGTCAAAATGTTACCTAATAGTTGCAAATCCATTAAGTTTGTGCACTCAAAAAGCTCCTACCTTTAGCATACACTTTTAGGAAAGCAGAACGCAGTTAAGAGTATTTCAGTTTCAGTTTTGCAATTGGAACTTTGCGCTGGCAGCTTCCATTGTGATGCAGGTGACAACACCCCGCACATCCCATTCCCACATCCTGGCCTTTTTGTCTACGGCTTTTGGCCAGCGAGCGGAGCCGTCAAAAGGAACAAACCTCAGTGGCGACAGCGTGGAAATGCACGTCACAAGTACTCGCACAGTTCATCTGGCCGAGTAAATGGAAAAGTTTTGTTTGGTAAACTTTTCGGCCAGAAAAGAAAGCGCCGGCTAAGGCGTCCTGAGTGCTGCAAGTACGGAGTTGGGCTGGGTCCGAGGTACAAAGTCACTAAGGAAACAATGACGACCGAAAAGTTTCTCGTTGGCATAATCATTGTCATGGCCATTGACGCAAGGATTTGCAAATTATCAGGGACGAAACTTGACCGGGTCCGTGTGCAACATGAGCCTCTAAAGCGGCTTCTGTGAAATTCCTTCATTAAATTTAGCATTTTTCCTGGACGCTAAAGGCGGGGTTGGATCCTGCGGGGACAGCTCTTGGGACCGCAATAATGGGCACAGATAGCAATTATGCCTTTGGCAAAATTGCCGACTGACAATCAAAGAGGCCGCACGCATAAACAAACCGGGCTTAGAGCCACCGCAACGGCTCCTTTTTCCTTGGAACCGCAGACCCTCCTCCGTAATGAATTGTGGCCAACCGACCCAACACACAAACAGATACAGAAGGACCCGATTATAAGTTTGCGTGCCGCTTCTTTTCCGCCTGCCTGGGCAATAATGTGGATCCTTAGCTTGCTGTGAGGAGGTCCTGGCCCCCATATGTACGAGCATGCATCCTTTTGCTGCAGCGATTCTAGGTTCAGGCGGCTAGAAGAACCCGATTTCTTTGCCGGCGTTCATTGTTTTGCGCCAAATTCATTTCGAAACAATGAAGTTTATCGCCGCCCTGCAGCCGCACAGTGCAGCATCACACTTGGCTAATTTGTGTGGGAAAACAATGCCTGTTAGAACCGACGGCCACATGCACAGTAAACAAAACTAATATAACTAAACTAAAATGGAAAATCGAAAATGGAAACTTTTGTTGGCACCCAATACTATTTCTAACTTTTTGTTATCTATCTATCCCAAAGTGTAGAATTTTAAAGGTACTATTCGACAACAAATTTATTTCAAAAAACGGAACACAAACATTTATTTTTTATATTTTTTTTTAAATTAATAAGTGCAATATTTTTTTACATTTATATAAGAATTAATAGAACTGCAATGCCACAATAAAAAACATTCTCTGCGTGTGTACATAGAAATATTTGCTTATCAAATATAATATTTTTCAAAATACATACATACAAATTTGCTTAGAAAATTTGCACAAATTATGTGTGACCTAGAGTCTAATCATTCAATTTGATTTTAATATGATTGCATTTACCGAAAAATTAATTTAAACTTAATGAGCTTCCAACGACGTGGAAATCGAAAACACAAATTTTATGAGCAGATTAAAACACTTTATGGACCTTTTAAAGTGTCACTGGTGGCTATTAGAAGGCTGTGGTGTTATTTCTCTGTGCAGTGCATGTTTGTTTTGCAGGCAACTCGCTTGCAAAGAATCAAAATGAATTGCGCCATAATTCAAATTACTCATACGCCGCATAGTACGGATGAGAAAATCCTCAGCATGCCCATCCTGCCGCTGCAAGTCACCATTTTGGCCCATTCACAGCCCGTCTAAATAGAAAATATCTCAAGTTGTTCCGCCTGAACGCATCGCATCCAAGCCAATGGCGTTGAGTCAGTTGGCAGGAAGAAAAGCCAATGAATAGCGCCGGCAAATGCGACTGCAAAATATGATTTCATTCATTAAAAGCCTGACAAGTTCAAGTTGAATGAGTAGATATATTTGGTGGCCGCCTGTCGGTGGCCACATATGATTTATTTTTAACCACGTCTATTACAGCATCATAGTGATCGAGTGTCCCGGCGTCTTGGCAGCCACTCAAAAAATTAACAAATAAAACGCTTAAAAGAACAGGCGTTGGCAATTATACAAGAAATATCGAAAACCTTTTAAGATTCGCACACGGCATGTTTTTATTTGTTCTTCCCCTGTGCCCCAATACCCATGTAAACAGCTGATTTAAATAGCCCGGCCCAAAGAGCAGCAATCAGAGCGAGAACTCAACGGAATGGACGGATGTCGGCCAAGCAACAAGCGGCGAGGCGAAAAATGTTGGCGAGCACGGCAAGCCGGCGGAAAATCGCCTCGGGCAGAATCGCCGCACAGTGTCCTTATGCATTTCTAAATGTGTACATTTCTTCCATCATTATAATAAACACATGAATCAAAGCACCACCTAAATTAAAAAACCTTTAGTTTTGTAGCTGGTATAATAATTGATAAACCTGTGGAGTTACCATTACAATGTAACTATGAGTTTCCCTCTTAAGTGAATTGATTTATTTAAAAATCTTCTTGTCTACGTGAGAAAAAATAAGAAAAATATAAATTGTTAGATATCCAAAATATAATTAAAGTATATATCAAATATATTAGTTTTATTATCGGTGTAAAGGAACTGAACACACACGTTTGTAGCTCCTCTTAACTTCAACGCGCCCTAAATATCAACCATTTGCTCTATATGCAATGGCACTTCTATTCTGGCAATACCCGACCCACTGTGCCGGCTGCTGCGTACTGCGTGCCGCAGTGCCTTCTGCGCTCGCCGAGCGGCCATTCTCGCCGCTCGGCACCCATGCCACATCGCATTGCCCATCATTCTGCACTCGTGGTCGCCGCCGACGGGGCTCGTCGTCAGTCTAGAGAGTAATATCGACACGAAAAGTAAGTTCGCCGTGCTTCTGCTGGCCCACCAGCATCGAGTATAGAATCTATATGTGCGGAGCCCCTCGAAACGGGTGGAAAACGTGAAAAATCCATGCCAGAGCTGGCCACTTCCACGCGCCCTCGACGAGCACGTGGCGGAGTAGGGCTCCAGGGCGAAAATGGCGGTGTTGTGCGCGTTGCATAAGATTTGCAATTATAATTCCGACGATTCGAATAAGTAAAATATGAAAATTTGATGAAAAATTCGGAAAGTGCTCTAGTTTTGTGCGCTGCCCAGGCCTTTGCGTGTGATATTTTTGGACATGTGTGCGCCTTCGGCAACGGCTCCGCGTCTTCGGGTTTCTTCGGGCCGCAGTGGAGACCAAAAATAAACACACGACACCGCTGAAAGCCAACGAAATGTTGGGGTTTTCAAAACCTAAGATCTATCGTTCGGTTTGAAAAAAACAACAGCAAAAAAATACCTCTCTAATGAACAATCCCTAGTGGTGCGCCGGGCGGTGTACATATTTATGTAGATATATGGTGGATATGTGCGTTTCAGTGCGGGTGCTGCCGGTTCAGCAAATGGCGGAGCAGGAGGGCGGGATTGTGCCCGGGGTGTGCCATCGGACCCTTGGATTACCGATGGCCGCCTTGTCCCCGAGTCCCTCGGCTCGCAGACTGACTGCCGCCAGTGAAATCAGTAAAAATATGAGAAAAGTCCTTGCCCAAGGAGAGACCCACCCGGCGAGCCAGAAAGCAATCAATTAGAACTCGTCGTCGGGACTCTCGGGAAATCGCATCATGCGAGTGGCAACATGTTGCACATATATCTACAAATCCACCGGCTAAATATAAGTGCGGCCACTAAATATATAGATCGCGTGTGTTTGCCAGCTTGTCGACAAAGTAACGTTGGCACCTGCCCAGAAACATACTAGACACCCATCGAAGAAACCACGCTAAAAAGCGGAAATTACGGAAACATTCGATTAGCCGAATCCAAGGCACTTAATTACCACGATTGCCCGTGAAACGATGAACATATATGTATTTGTACATATATATACATATATATACCGCGATTTACTGATACCGCGGATACCACTGATCATCAAAGACCTCACTTTTTATACCCGTTACTCGTAACAGCTAGAAGGAAGCGTTTCCGTACCTATAATGTATATATTCTTGAAAAGGATCAATAGCCGAGTCCGTCTTTCTGTCCGTCCATTTTTACGTCGAGATCTCAGGAACGTAAAAACCTAGAAAGCAGTTTAAGCATGCAGATTCCAGAGACAAGACGCAGCTCAAGTTTGATTCCGGATTTTGCTACTTTTGATTTCCGACTAGTATACTATTTGCACTAGAAAGAACACTTTGACCAAGTTTTATCCAGATATGTATATACCTTTATAACTGAGAGACTAGCTTGCGTGAAAAGGGACGAATGGACAGACTTACATACATATAAACCTGGCTATATTGACTCGACTGTTGATACTGACTAAAAATAAATGTACTTTATATGGTCGAAAAAATCTTCTTTACTGCGCTCTTAATTTATGACTGAAATCCTAACACCCCTAATAAATGAAATTACAATTACGATGCAATTTCGCGATTAAAGTGTCAATACTGTAATAAATTACAAACAAATTATAATAATATTGGTATTCTGGTTGTTTGGTTTAATTCAAGTCGTATAGTTTTCATAACTTGTTGATGCCCAAACGATCTTCAAGCCCTTTAAAAATCTTCATATTTTTGAGTAATTAGAATTGGTATACCCATGAAACTTGAAATGCTTAATACTTGTTCTTCAAATTTTAATAATTTACATTCATTTTTTTAATTAATTTTTAATTTATTAAAAACTTTGGCGATATTGTATTTCGTACATGTACGACGTGATTTTATTAAATATCTCTTCAATATAAAAATATTATCGTACTGAAAAAAGATTTATAAAAGAATTATTTTTATACTGTATTTATTAACGAGGACTGTATAGTTCAAAATATTCAAAAAAAAATATAGATTAATCTTAAAAAAGAGAGTATTAAATTGGCCAAACAAATGTGCAGTTGACTTCACTTTTAGCCTTTAATGAGGACTCTTATTCAGTAGCACAATTCCTTTCATTTATTTGGCCTTTTGCCTGCTAGTAACATCTAACACACAAACAAATATCTACATAAATTCCTGAATAATTACAAGTGTAAAATACGAGCGAACAATCGCGGCGAATTTGGCAAGTGACACAGAAAGTGCGGAGAGCAAGGCAAAGGCGAAAATATCCGCAATACCGAGTGAATCAGCTGTTCGCACAGCGAAAGCAAAACAAAAAGCCGAACGAGAGAGTGCGAGAGAAAGTGGCCTCTCCACTCTCCGTTGGTCCGCGAGTGGGTGAGCGTGTGTGTGTTTGCCTTGGAAAGAGCGAGTGGAAGGGGATTCCCTAAATATAAACAAAAGTTCGTGCCACTCAAGTTCTGTCCGCCCATTAAGAAACTCTCGCCGACAGCCATTCCCACCCGTGACGAATGTAAACAATCGAATTCTAACCGTAAATATATTCCCAATCATTCGAAGGAAATTATACCGATTCGGGTGACCGAGGGAAATCCCAGAACAATTGAATTCAAACGTCGCTGCGATATAAATTCCGATTTGGAGGCGCTGCGGTCGTTGCGTTAACCAAACGAAATGGCTGAGGCGGAGGGAGGCTCCGAGCAGGATGATGTTTCATTCCTGAGAACGGTAAGTAACAGCAACAGGATATCACAATCCCTTCGCTTTTGGAAGATTCCAGACAGATTGATTGGGATTACATAATTCCACAATTTTTAAGTGATCAAATATTTAAAATCATTTTCAAGTAAGGCTTAGACTAGTTTCTACTTGATATATTTGCAAAGGTAGTGCACTTTCCATTCATAAATTTTGATGTATCCCAGGAAATCTTATGTTGAAATACATAAAACAAGTAAATATTACTTGCTCGCTGTAGATTAAAAAATAGGATTTATGATAGATTTAAAGCAATCGAATTCTGGATGGCAAACAATTTCAAGGCAATTTTTAAAGCCAATTCGTTTTGAAATTGGAGTATACCCCGCACAGCCAAGGACAACAGCAGATCATCTAAAATCAATTACGTCCACTCAATAAAATCCATGGGGATTTTTCACAATTGGTGTCATAAAATATCCGGCCATCCATAAAAGATATCCTGCCTCGTTTCCCCGGCTACGCCATGCAGCTGTATATATATGTAATGCATATTTATAGGCGCCCCTAACTTTTGTTTATGGCACACAATAAATACGGAGCCCAAGTCACAAATTCAATCACGGCCACCAGGGGCTTTAGCTTTTCGTCTGATTCCACTTTACATAGCCAGCTGGTTTTGGGCACGGGAAGGAGGTGGAGGCGTGGGAGTAGGTGGTGGTGAAGGTGGGGTGGAAGGATTCCTCAATGAACACATCGTCAGCTGACAAATGCCGCCATATATCAATGCCCACAGCTGGTGCGGCAAATGACAGCCATTATGGGGTATAAGTAAATAGTGTTGCTTCCCTGTGCTCACGCCCACGTGCCACACTCCTGCCCACGACCCAAGGGCCTTCCCCTACTGGGGGTCAGCGAGGTCAGCAGCAGCGACACCTTGCCGCAATAAATAAATACGTTTGGGGGCAAAAGTTGAGTTTACACATCGCAGCCACACGGACATCCGTGTATCTTTGTATCTGCTTGTGGCCCCCAAGTCCGATTCCCACACACCGCAACAGAAATTCAATAAATACCGAAGACCCGGCAGGGAAACAGGACTCGAGGTCCCCAGGGAAGTCCCTGCGCCGCCCTCCAAGTGAAGTCGATGTCAAATTACGCTTATGCCTCCCCGAAAACTTTACAGTTCACTAGCGAGGGACCCGAAAAGTGCAAGTTTGCAAAACCATTTATCGAAATGAAGTCAGATGCAAATTGAGTCATTGAGCAGTGCAGTTTTTGGATGCCCAAAACCAGGATGTGGTCGGATTTAAATTTTAAATAGATGGGCCAGGGACAATGATGCTGCAGTGTCAGGACTCGGCACTTCATTCGCATTTAAATTATGCAAGTTGCTCGATTCGAAATCCATTACCGTTCATTTAACTTCGACTACACACAACATCACCGGTCCAAAATCACAACCGGTGGGAGGGAAGGTGGGTGTGGACAACCAGCCTTACCACACCACCCACCCATGGGCCGTTCATTTGCACATTTAGTGCTTTGTAACAATTCCCCCAATTTGCGTGTGCATCGCCCGGCTGATTCTCCATGCCCACAAGGATGCAGATGGAGCTGGCGAGTCGAATGTGTCGGCAAATGCCAATTGGTATTGCGGTGGCTTGCCGGTCGGAATTGTTGCCAAAGTCTCATTAAAATTGCAGCACAACTTTGGGCCTCTTAACGACTTAATTGTTGCCTAAACTATCCCTCCATTCCTTAACTCAATGCTACCACTCCATGCACATGGAGAAATCGATTCCAGGATTTCTAACTTGAACATCACCTTAGGGAAGCGTCTTTCAAGAACTAGCTGAAATGGCAGCGGTAGAGTGATACCCTATACGCTGCTAAAGAAACTGCAAGGAAGTTGGAGATGTCCAGCACACAAGCGCCACCTAGCAGCTGTTCTATAAATGATGCTTCGATTTATAACCACCATAAATTCCATTACCTCCTAATGTGCCAAGGTTTTGAAACAAATTTTCCAATAGTATGTGCCTCTGTAATCTGTAGCTGTTTAGTTTCTGAGATCTCGACTTTTGCCATAGCCAGATCGACTAGGCTAGTGATTCCGATTTACTTTTTAGGGGTCGAAAACTTTTTATATGTTACACCTTCTTAAACATGTTTATTATACGTTTTATTCAAAGAGCAACGGATATCAATCTAAAGGACATAGTTAGAAAGTCTACAAATACAAAAAATTTAATTGTATGCATTACTCATAAGATTAGAGAGTAAAATTGATTCTTTGAAAAGTTTGTTACAGGTAGATGTAAGTGTTCCTGACCCAATTTTTGTTATTCTTGATCAGGATAAGTAGACACAAATGACTTTAAATGTCTAGCTCTGAAACATTCTGATATTTTGATACTGGAATTTATTTAGCATGTTTATACCTATCGATATACCGAAAATATTGGAAATCAGATTATTACTCACAACCTGCGGCTTGGTAGACATTAGCAATCCCTTCTTTATCCGTAGATAAATACAAAAATATATTGCCATCTATATTTGGTTAGCTCAGCATTTCTTAACTTTTAATAAACATGCAATAGGGCAACTTTCTTCAGCTGTCCAAGGTCAGCTGAATATTTTATACACTGTTAAATAAGGTGCATTACCACTAAATATTCTTCGTTTTCCGAATGCCATTGTAGGAGGACATGGTCACGCTCTCCTGCACGGCGACGGGGGAGCGTGTCTGCTTGGCCGCCGAGGGATTTGGCAACCGGCACTGCTTCCTCGAGAACATTGCCGACAAGAACGTGCCACCGGATCTCTCGCAGTGTGTCTTCGTCATAGAACAGGCGCTGTCCGTGCGAGCGTTGCAGGAGTTGGTGACGGCGGCCGGATCCGAGACTGTAAGTATAGCCCCTGGAAGCCGGTCAACTCGGATGTATGTCTTTTCATAGCAAAACCAAGTGAATCCCGAGCATTCATACCGTGTAGTAGTCTGTCCCGCCATTTCTGTGTTGTGATCCTTCTCGCTTCAAGGTCCCTAGAGTAAGGTCATATAAGTTCCCCGATAGCTAGCTCCTTGCATGCCCACTCTGTGATCTTCCCGTTCCGTTTTTCTCTTCTACACATTTGTAACCTATCACTTTTTCGTTATTTTTCAAAATTTTTCTAAATACCCACAAAACAGGATAGTCGACTTGTAAGTATACCTTTCAATTCTTCTTCGTTACTCGTATCGCGCTTCTTTCTCTCTTCTACACTCTATCTTTCTCACTCTGTCTGTGTAAAGTAGCGCTCGTTCTGTCTCGCTCCGCTATTGCTTCTTTATCATATCTCTGCGGGGAATAATCCCCTAAACCTGAGCTTGTGCTCACCTATTTTCCCCGAACAGAGATTCAAGTCGCGTAAGACTGGGCCTACGAACCTGGATCTTGCAGCTCCTAACTCAGCAGTGATTAAAATTAAGTACACTTGGACTACGGATTGTACGAGTATATTATCCCTTTCCAATGCAAAGAAGAACTCAAGGCCTCACAACCTAAAATATTCTTTAATTTTATGGAAAAGGAATTCCATTTTTCAATCGAAGGAATGTATTTAATTTAATTACAAATTTAAAATAATGATTTTATTTGAAGTGTACATTCATACACAATGAATATTGGCTCAGAGTCTTCTTTGTTTGATGTACTCCATAGATCTAACCATCAGCAACCACGAGCACTTTGCATCCTAACTTCGTAAATACTTAACTTTTTCCACTGTTATGCAGTAGTTTGTAGATTGTAGTCTTACCAACCCCTAGAGCCAGCTGTCTGCACACAGAGCTAACCATTTTTAATGGCTTTCCCCAAAATTCCTAGGGCAAAGGCACCGGATCGGGACACAGGACATTGCTCTACGGCAATGCCATTTTGTTGCGCCATCACAACAGTGATATGGTGAGTACTTGAACACTTTCACTTGACCGGCATGAATAAATGTAATACGCTTAAATTTTACAGTACTTGGCCTGTCTATCCACCTCCTCGTCGAACGACAAGCTGTCCTTCGACGTGGGCCTGCAGGAGCACAGCCAGGGAGAGGCCTGTTGGTGGACGGTTCATCCGGCGAGCAAGCAGCGCTCCGAGGGCGAGAAGGTGCGCGTCGGTGATGACCTGATCCTGGTGTCGGTGGCCACCGAACGTTATTTGCATACCACCAAGGAGAACGAGCAGTCTATTGTAAACGCCAGCTTCCACGTGACCCACTGGTCCGTGCAGCCCTACGGCACGGGCATTTCTAGGATGAAGTACGTGGGCTACGTCTTTGGCGGCGATGTGCTGCGCTTCTTCCATGGTGGCGACGAGTGCCTGACCATACCGAGTACATGGGGTCGTGAGGCGGGACAAAAGTAAGTGGATCACACGGAATGCCTGCAGTCACAGTACTTTAATCCAGTTTCAATCCTCCGACAGTATTGTTATTTACGAGGGCGGCGTGGTCATGGCACAGGCGAGGTCCCTGTGGCGCCTGGAACTCGCACGAACCAAGTGGACTGGTGGCTTCATCAACTGGTACCACCCGATGCGCATTCGCCACATAACCACTGGACGCTACTTAGGCGTCAACGACAGCAACGAACTGATTCTGGTTAAGAAGGAGGAGGCTTCAATTGCGACGACGACTTTCTGCCTGCGGCAGGAAAAGGACGACGAGAAGAAGGTGCTGGAGGACAAGGACCTAGAGGTGATAGGCTCGCCGATCATCAAGTACGGCGACACCACTGTCATCGTCCAGCACTGCGAGACTAGCTTGTGGCTCAGTTACAAGAGCTACGAGACCAAGAAGAAGGGCGTAGGAAAGGTGGAGGAGAAGCAGGCCATCCTGCACGAAGAGGGCAAGATGGACGATTGTCTCGACTTTTCGCGCTCCCAGGAGGAGGAGTCGAAGACGGCGCGTGTCATTCGCAAGTGCAGCAGCCTCTTCACCCAGTTTATTACGTAGGTGACCTGGAAGTCCTTCTCGAGTAGTTTCGTCATCCTATCGTAATCATTTCAGGGCCTTGGAAACACTGCAGTCAAATCGCCGACACTCCATTTTCTTCCAAAAGGTCAACCTCAACGAGATGGTCATGTGCCTGGAGGACTTGATCAACTACTTTTCGCAACCCGAAGACGATATGGGTGAGGCCTTTCGAAACATATCCTTAAGATGTTCAATTAAACCTCCAATTAATTTCCAGAGCACGAGGAGAAACAGAACCGCTTCCGTGCGCTGCGCAACCGACAGGATCTGTTCCAGGAGGAGGGCGTGCTGAATCTGATCCTGGAGGCCATTGACAAGATCAACATAATCACCTCGCAGGGCTTCCTCGCCAGCTTCCTGGCCGGCGACGAGACCGGTCAGAGCTGGGATCTCATCTCCACCTATCTTTACCAACTCCTGGCCGCCATCATCAAGGGCAACCACACGAACTGCGCCCAGTTCGCAAACAGCAACCGACTCAACTGGCTATTCTCGCGTCTCGGTTCCCAGGCCTCCAGCGAGGGTTCCGGCATGTTGGACGTACTCCACTGCGTGCTGATCGATTCGCCCGAGGCCCTGAACATGATGCGGGATGAGCACATCAAGGTGATCATTTCGCTGCTGGAGAAGCATGGCAGGGACCCCAAGGTCCTGGACGTTCTGTGTTCCCTGTGCGTCGGTAATGGAGTGGCGGTGCGATCCTCCCAGAACAACATTTGCGACTTTCTACTGCCAGGCAAGAACCTGTTGCTACAGACGCTCCTGGTGGACCATGTGGCCAGCATCCGACCGAACATCTTCGTGGGTCGCGTGGACGGCTCTTCCATGTACCAAAAGTGGTACTTCGAGGTGACCATGGATCACATCGAACAGACCACGCACATGATGCCCCACCTGCGCATCGGCTGGGCTAATACTTCCGGGTATGTACCGTATCCAGGAGGCGGAAAGAAATGGGGTGGCAATGGAGTAGGCGATGACCTGTATTCCTTCGGATTTGATGGCGCCTATCTGTGGACCGGAGGTCGCAGAACACTAGTGGTGGACGCGCTGCCCGAGGAGCCCTTTATCCGGAAGGGTGATGTTGTGGGCGTTGCCATTGATCTTTCTGTGCCCATCATCACGTTTACGTTTAACGGAGTAAAAGTGCGCGGAAGCTTTAGGGACTTCAACCTGGATGGAATGTTCTTTCCCGTAATGAGCTGCTCATCAAAGCTAAGCTGTCGTTTCCTTTTCGGAGGCGATCATGGTCGCTTAAAGTTTGCACCGCCCATGGGATTCTCTGCCCTAGTGCAGTGTCTCATGCCGCAGCAGATCCTCAGTCTGGACCCATGCTTCTACTTTGGTAATCTGAGCAAGAATGTTTTGGCTGGTCCTTGGCTTATTGAGGATGACAATGCTTTTGTTCCGAAACCCGTTGATACCACGGGTGTGACATTGCCCAGTTCTGTAGACCAAATCAAGGAGAAGCTGGCGGAGAATATCCACGAAATGTGGGCTCTGAACAAAATCGAGGCGGGCTGGTCGTGGGGCGAGCACCGTGATGACTACCACCGCATTCATCCCTGCCTCACCCATTTCGAGAAGCTTCCGGCGGCGGAGAAGCGGTACGACAACCAACTGGCTGTGCAAACGCTGAAGTAAGTTGACTTTCTTTTAAGTAAATTAACCATTACTGACCTTCGCTGCTCCCTAGGACGATTATCTCGCTTGGATACTACATAACCATGGACAAGCCACCAGCACGCATTCGCCCCGTGCGCCTTCCCAACGAGATATTCATGCAGGGCAACGGCTACAAGCCGGCTCCACTGGACCTAAGCGCCGTGACACTCACCCCGAAGTTGGAGGAACTCGTGGACCAGCTGGCCGAGAACACTCACAATCTGTGGGCACGGGAGCGCATCCAACAAGGTTGGACTTATGGCCTGAACGAGGACAGCGAAAACCACAGGAGTCCACACTTGGTGCCCTATGCCAAGGTGGACGAGGCTATCAAGAAGGCCAACAGGGACACAGCGTCGGAGACAGTGCGAACGCTCCTGGTTTACGGATATGTGCTGGATCCTCCCACGGGCGAGGGAACGGAGGCGCTCCTGGCCGAGGCACAGCGCCTCAAGTTCGCCGGATTCCGGACGTACAGGGTGGAGCGCAACTACGCCGTGACATCGGGCAAGTGGTACTTCGAATTCGAGGTCCTCACCTCCGGACCTATGCGAGTGGGTTGGGCCCGGGCTGATTGCTATCCGGGCGCGATGCTGGGCAGCGAGGACACCAGTTGGGCCTTCGATGGACACAATGTGAGTATGAGGAGGTCAGGGGTCTCCATGCCGAGGGTCATCCATTCGATGTAGGCTAGGGAGGGTTGGAAGGGACTGCGGTAACGCCTAATGTCAGATCGACTCAAACCAAACCCACAACCCCGTGATTATAGGTGACCAAAATGCACGCCGGATCCATTGAGCACTTCGGAGTGCGGTATGAGGCTGGCGATGTCATTGGTTGTTTCATCGATGTCAAGGAGCAAACGATCAGTAAGGACCTAGACGCCCTAGCAGCGTGCCTCAACGTTGATTTTATTTACTTTGATCGAACGCATTTTGTTTAACTCAACTTCTCAACTTAATCAACGATTTCGTTCCTTTTGATTTGTTAATTTAGCGACACTCTCTCATGTATACGATCATTAACCAGCTACCAGCAGAGTAAAGAGTCACATAACATTCGAGTAGGGCCATATTGATCGATCGAACCGCGACTAAATCTCGGCACTTGCCACTCAATTTTTAGGAAGAGAAAGTCTACGGTGGCGTCAGTGAATCCTTCGGTAAACAGTGCGGCCCCGGGGACATAGTCGGCGTCTTTCTAGACCTGGCCGACCACACAATTAGTAAGAACTGCTCGCTCCCTGTTGTAATGTCAAATCCTCTAAGCAGCCCCAAGGAATGTCCACCTCCGTGCTTTTGATATCTACTAAATGTGAACCAGAGCCACCGGATAACCGAGTGCCGCAGGTCCAGCGATGCGTGGGCCATGTGGTATCCACGCACCTCAATATTCACCTCAATATAGATACCCTGCAAAAGCGACCCATAGATACCCATCAAGACCGAACCGCCTACAGTTAACTTTAGGTCATTTTAGTCGAAATTGATTTATGATGTATCATACCTAACATGTTGATACCTTTTAATTTGCATCTTTAATTATCTAAATATCCAAATTATCTTTGTCTTCAAAATGGTACTCTTATCAACTTCATCGTGAGAAATTTCGCTAGAATTTGAATTGTTTGAATTGGACATACAATTGGGTAATCAAAGCAAGTAGATCAGCCATTTGAGACACGACAGACACCGAACCAAGCCCACTCATAGAATCGTCCGCCAAATGCACACGTCCATCAATGCCAGCTTCTCGTAGACTCTCACTTTCGGTCCAGACCATCCAATTCCCAAGCTCTAATGTCCAACTATTGTTATCTTGAACACCTTGAACGCCTAACAAGGAGCGCGACGCCTGGTTAGAGACCTGGGCGCCTGAGGAGCAGGTGACACATCAGCTCATCCCCAAGCTTTTTACTCTCTCGTAACTGCCTGTAATTACTAACGACACGTACTTAACCAATAGCAATTCAATCCAGTTGTACAATATTTAGCATGAGAGCTAACACAAGTACTAATAGCTTGCTTGACATTATAATCCTAGCTTTGCCTCCTAACTCGAAACCCAACCAGTTAAACACTACTCTAGTCCAGACATGATAACCATATAACATAATATAATGCAAGTATGCTGCAAGGCGAATCAAACGCCAATTAATACGCACGCATTTCCTAGAGGAATTAAAATTGCTTAATGGATTCCGGACGAACGATACAAACCGGATGCGGATACGGTTCTCAGGCCAAGGCCCGTTCGGAATTCATTGAGGAGCTGCTTGGTTCTTGGTTTCAATATGCTCATCATTAGCAACCGCCCAGCCAGCACCAAGCCTCGACCCCATTAACCATAATCAATCGTTGTGCAGGCTTCTCGCTGAACGGAGAACTCCTGATGGACGCGCTGGGCGGCGAGACGACCTTTGCCGACGTCACCGCCGAGGGGGTGGGTTTCGTGCCCGCCTGCACCCTGGGCGTGGGCCAGAAGGCGCGCCTCATCTACGGCCAGGACGTGGACTCCCTCAAGTTCTTCACCACCTGTGGCCTGCAAGAGGGATACGAGCCCTTCTGCGTGTGAGTACTCGGAGTACAAGTATATGTAGTTAAGTGAATTTAATTTAAATTTTACCTGCAGGAACATGCGTCGACCGGTGACACACTGGTACACCAAGGACCAGCCCATTTTCGAGAACACCGAGGAGATGCCCGACTGCCGCATCGATGTCACTCGAATTCCCGGCGGTGCTGACACCCCGCCGCACCTAAAGATCTCGCACAACACCTTTGAGACCATGGAGAAGGCCAACTGGGAGTTCCTGCGTCTTTCCCTGCCTGTGACCTGCATGAGTGAGTTCATAGGGGAGCAGGAGAAGGCCAGACGCTGGGACGAGATTAAGAATCGGCAGTACCGACTCATGCGCGAGGCGGAGATCGCCGCCCAAATGCAGGTCCAGACACAGGCCGCCCACATGGACCACATGCTGAAAGGTGGCTTCAATATGAACGATATCAAGGGCTTGACCCGTAATTTCGATGAGCACGCGGATGCAGAGGCAGACCACATCATGCGAGGACCAAACCGTCCGCCTCGCAAGGGTTCGCTCACCCGCAACATCACCTTCGAAACAGACATGTCCGCCGCCCTGGACGAAATGCAGCGATCCACGTCCGTGCTGGACATGAACGGCCTGGGCGAGGAGATGGACGACAAGAAGAAGCGCGGCCGCAGTCCCTTCAAGTTCTTCTCGAAGAAGTCGCGTGACCAGAGCCGCGAAAAGATGGGCGCCCGCACCCTGGACACCTCTCTGGAGCGTCGAAATACGGTGGCTCATGGACGGAACGTGGTTAACCAGCAGATGACCACACGCGCTCCTACTCTGCGGCTAAATAATGTAAGTCATGATTTCCTGTTAATTAGTGATGATGATTGGATTTGAAACCTCTTCTTAGGCCGAAATCCCTCCCAGCCCTGTGCCCCAGGGACCAAAGCAGTTGAGTGGCTCGAATCTTGGCCAGCAGCCGGTGGAAACTTCCGGTGACGAGATGTTCGACGCCGAGTGCCTCAAGTTGATCAACGAGTACTTCTATGGAGTAAGAATCTTTCCCGGTCAGGATCCCACGCACGTGTACGTGGGTTGGGTGACCACGCAGTATCACCTGCACAGCCGCGAGTTCAACAAGAACAAGGTTCGCCGTGGGTCAGTCTACATCGAGGATGACTACGAGATGGCCATCGAGCGGATCGACCGGCAGAGTTGCTATGTGGTGCGAGCGGACGAGCTCTTCAACGAGGTTACCCAGGATGCCTCAGGCAAGGGTGCCTCCCAGGGTATGTTCGTTGGCTGCTTCGTGGACACAGCCACCGGCATCATCCGCTTCACTTGCGAGGGCAAGGACACCTCTCACCGCTGGATGATGGAGCCAGACACTAAGCTCTTCCCCGCCATTTTCGTAGAGGCCACCAGCAAGGAGATCCTTCAGATCGAGTTGGGACGTACCCCCACTACACTGCCCCTTTCAGCGGCGGTACTGCCCACCAGTGACAAGCATATAAATCCACAGTCTCCGCCACGTCTGAAGGTCCAGTGCTTGCGTCCGCATCAGTGGGCTAGAGTTCCAAATACCGCACTTCAGGTGCACGCTCTGAAGCTATCCGACGTGAGGGGCTGGTCCATGTTATGCGAGGACCCCGTGTCCATGCTGGCCCTGCACATACCAGAGGAGGATCGCTGTATAGATATCCTGGAGCTCATCGAGATGGACAAGCTTCTGTCCTTCCACGCCCACAGTCTAACGCTCTATGCGGCTCTTTGTTACCAATCCAATTACAGAGCTGCCCATGCCCTGTGCCAGCATGTGGACCAGAAGCAGCTGCTCTACGCCATCAGGTCGGAGTACATGAGCGGACCATTGCGACAGGGCTTTTACGACCTGCTGATCGCCCTGCATCTGGAGTCCCATGCCACAACCATGGAGGTGTGCAAGAACGAGTACATCACACCGCTGGGAGCCGAGCTCAAGGAACTGTACTCCGAAGAGGAGATGCAGCACTCACTGCGATCCTTGGTTACGGAGTCAGTGCGTCCGCAGCTGCGGATGACGGAGATCACGTGAGTTGACCATTTACGGCTTTTCGCTCTACCCACAATGCACAGATTTCCCGATCACTGCTCGGGCTGGGGACATGGCATTCTGATTATCCTTTCGATTTTGTTCACATCCCCTTCTGTTTCGAATCTCCCGGTCCTGCATCTGATCCAACACAACACCTGATCCATCGAACCTCCTCAACATCGAACCGACACAACAACTACAACTACACCCGTCCAGACCCCCTGTGATTGCAACATCTAGTATGCCAAGTGTTTCCAGCGAACCGATCCCCGACATCGACCAATTGTACTCCCCGAAGTTCCCCTTAGAAGTAGTCAGGCAGTTCGTCATGGAGGCGCTGAAGGATGCCGTCGAGATCAATCAGGTGCACAACCGCGATCCCATTGGCTGGACCAACGAGAACCTCTTCCTGTGAGTAACACCTTTCCCCGCTAGGTCCATAGAATGTCCTTAGTGATAGCCCGATTCCCACTTGCCTTGTAGCCCTCTAATCAAGCTCACAGACCGGCTACTCCTGGTCGGCGTCCTGACCGACGAAGATGTCCAGCGGCTGTTGGTCATGATCGACCCGGAGACCTGGGACCAAGCCTTCGAGAGGGGTGAGTAGGGAATTGCTCACAGCTTTGGTCGGCTGGTAAAATTACACTAGCATTATTAGGTTAATTCCGGTATGGAGAATAGTATAAACAATTCTTAATTAATACAATAGGATCTCATTACTGATTATTTTGAAACTTGAGTACAAGGCAATCAGGGACATTAAATACATTTACTTTTTAATAGTCCGGAATAAACATAAATAAACATTGATTGAAAAGAAGCACACCTACTTTACCGGCAGACCACAGTCACCAATGCCTAAGAAACCGAACCTAATCTTATAGAATAATCGCTGCTTTCAGAGGGAAAGGATGAGCACCGCAAGGGCTTGCTCACCATGAAGATGGCCGAGGGCGCTAAGCTCCAGATGTGCTACCTGCTGCACCATCTCTACGACACCCAACTGCGCCACCGAGTGGAGAGCATCATCGCGTTCTCCCACGACTTCGTGGGCGATCTGCAGACCGATCAGTTGCGACGTTATATCGAGATCAAGCAATCCGATTTGCCCAGTGCTGTTGCGGCCAAAAAGACTAAAGAGTTCCGCTGTCCGCCGCGAGAGCAGATGAACCAGATTCTCTGCTTCAAGAACCTCGAAGCCGATGACCAGGACAACTGCACCTGTGGCCTTGAGTTGCGCGGACGCCTGGGCGACTTTCACGACTCCCTCATGCAAAAGGTGTCGCTCAACGCTCTCCAGGAGCCGGATGGCGTCGAGGGCACAGCGATCGAGGAGATAAAGACAGGACCCATCACGAAGATCTACAACTTTATCAACACCGTCAAAGAGCTGGAGGAGGGCCCCAAGGAGGTGGAGGAGCCGGAGAAGAAGACACCAGAGGAGGTGTTTCGCAAAGTGCTCATTAAGACGATCGTCAGCTGGGCCGAGGAGTCGCAGATCGAGAATCCCAAGCTGGTGCGCGAGATGTTCAGTCTGCTGCTGCGGCAGTATGACACAGTCGGAGAATTGGTTCGCGCCCTGGAGAAGACGTACGTGATAAACACCCGGGCCCGCGAGGACGTGGCAGAGATGTGGGTGGGCCTCAGCCAAATTCGCGCCCTGTTGCCCGTTCAGATGAGCCAGGAAGAGGAGGAGCTGATGCGCAAGCGGCTGTGGAAGCTGGTGAACAACGCCACCTTCTTCCAGCACCCGGACCTCATACGCATCCTGCGCGTCCACGAGAACGTGATGGCAGTGATGATGAACACACTCGGGCGGCGGGCACAGGCTCAAAGTGATGCGCCCACCCAGCCGGAAGGAGCCGAAGGAGCTCCATCCAAGGAAAAGGACACCTCCCACGAAATGGTGGTGGCTTGCTGCCGATTCCTCTGCTACTTCTGCCGCACTGGCCGCCAAAACCAAAAGGCCATGTTCGATCATTTCGACTTTCTACTGGACAACGCCAACATCCTGCTGGCACGACCCAGTCTACGAGGATCCACGCCCCTCGATGTGGCATACTCGAGTTTGATGGAGAACACAGAATTGGCTCTGGCCCTGAGGGAACACTATCTGGAGAAGATCGCCGTCTATCTGTCGCGGTGCGGACTGCAGAGCAACTCGGAGCTCGTGGAGAAGGGCTATCCGGATTTGGGTTGGGATCCCGTCGAAGGTGAGCGGTACCTGGACTTCCTGCGCTATTGCGTTTGGGTCAACGGCGAGAGCGTCGAGGAGAATGCAAACCTTGTCATTCGACTTCTTATCCGTCGTCCGGAATGCTTGGGACCGGCTCTAAGAGGAGAAGGAGAAGGTCTGTTCCGCGCCATCGTCGAGGCTAATCGCATGTCGGAGCGCATCTCGGACCGCTGCAAGATGCAGGACGAGGCCGAGGGCACGATTGCCGGACTGAACTTCACACACCCTCTGCCGGAGGGCGAGGAGGACGAGGACTACATCGATACCGGAGCCGCCATTCTGAACTTCTACTGCACCCTGGTGGACCTACTGGGCCGCTGTGCTCCGGACGCTTCGGTCATCGAGCAGGGCAAGAACGAGTCCCTGAGGGCTAGAGCTATTCTGAGATCTCTGGTGCCACTGGAGGATTTGCAGGGGGTGCTCAGCCTAAAGTTCACCCTCTCACAGACGGCGCCCGGCGAGGAGAAGCCCAAGTCGGACATGCCGTCCGGCCTGCTGCCCAACAACAAGCAGAGCATCGTGCTCTTCCTGGAGCGCGTCTACGGCATCGAGGCCCAGGACCTCTTTTACCGCCTGCTGGAGGACGCCTTCCTGCCGGATCTCCGCACTGCTACCATTCTGGACAAGAGCGATGGATCCGAGAGCGACATGGCACTGGCCATGAACCGCTACATCGGCAACTCGATCCTTCCGCTGCTCATCAAGCACTCCAAGTTCTACAACGAGGCCGAGAACTACGCCAGCCTCTTGGATGCCACTTTGCACACGGTCTACCGGCTGTCCAAGAACCGTATGCTGACCAAGGGGCAGCGCGAGGCTGTTTCCGACTTCCTGGTGGCCCTCACATCCCAAATGCAACCTGCCATGCTGCTCAAGCTGCTGCGCAAGTTGACTGTGGATGTGTCCAAGTTGTCCGAGTACACCACCGTGGCCCTCCGGGTGAGCATCGATATCCTTTCCAATTGCCTTTTACAACTTCTGTATCATTTTTATATAGCAAAATATTGATTTGAGTACATATCGAAATAGCCTCATTTATTACTGATATCTTTGCACCCACTTATATATTTGAAATATCCATGTAAAATTAATTGTATTGAAAGAATTCATCGATTAATCACATTTTATCTGATTTGCTTCAATGTCAATAATTATGAAAGCGTCGCAATTTTAACGATATTTCTGTGGTTAATATTCATATTCTAAACATGGAAATGTTTTTAGTTACTTAAATAACAAACTAGTTAAACTGACATTTCATTTCTTAACATAATTTAAAAGTCGTTAACAAGTATAATAATTAATAATGCATTTAATAAAACCAAGAACATGGAAATATTTTTTAGGTACTTAAATAACAAACTAGTTAAACTGACATTTAATTTCTTAACATAATTTAAAAGTCGTTCACAATTATAATAATTAATAATGCAATTAATAAAACCAAGAACACATGTTAATGCAAGCGACTACCAAGACAGTTTCCCATATTAATGCCACTCCCTTGACCTCCGATAGCTTCTCACCCTGCACTTCGATCGCTGCGCCAAGTACTACGGCTCAACTCAAGGCCAGGGCTCCTATGGAGCCTCATCGGACGAGGAGAAGCGCCTGACGATGCTGCTGTTCTCGAACATTTTTGACTCGCTCAGCAACATGGACTATGACCCGGAACTGTTCGGTAAAGCCCTGCCCTGCCTGATCGCCATCGGCTGCGCCCTGCCCCCGGACTACAGTCTGTCCAAGAACACGGACGAGGACTACTACGGCCGCCAGATGGGTGCCCCGGATCAGCCGCAGTACATGCCCAATCCGATCGACACCAACAACGTGCATCTGGACAACGACCTCAACTCGCTCGTCCAAAAGTTCAGCGAGCACTACCACGATGCTTGGGCCAGTCGGCGGTTGGAAGGTGGCTGGACCTACGGAGACATCCGATCCGACAATGATCGCAAGCATCCTCGCCTGAAGCCCTACAACATGCTCAGTGAATATGTGAGTACCCCCGTTGGCCAGGCAGGCTAATATTTAATCTAAATCCTTTTACCATTAACCAGATATTCTGTTTTCATTTTCTAGCTTTTTATAACTAATTAATGACATATGATCACAATCCATTATTCTGTTTTCAGTTTGTATATTTAGCACCAGCTAAATCATATCATTATGTGACTAGCATTCTTAATTAATGATTTTTTATTGACTTATTTTTTCCTACGTTTTCTAACATCGATTTTACATGTTTTAGGTTATTTGGTGTCCCAGGGACAGGTTTATATATTGGCTAATCTTTAATTCGCTTTAAAAGACCAAGAATGTGGCAACTAGAGTAATTAAAAAACTTTACTATTATCGTAGGCGGACTTACTTAATTGTGAGATAAACCCTTGTTTCTGTGACACTTAACTTATATGCACCTTTACTTAAATAATTCAATCTTAATTGTGCTAGCTTTATCAACGTAATTCAACAGCTAACTCAAAATCGTTCCACCAATATATAGAGTAATACGGCTTAACAGAAGCTATTCTTACCACTGAAATCTCATTGACAGGAACGCGAGCGGTACCGGGATCCGGTGCGGGAGTGCCTGAAGGGTCTGCTGGCCATTGGCTGGACCGTGGAGCACTCCGAGGTGGAGGTGCCGTTGAATCACCGCGGATCGACGCGACGTCAGTCGAAGCCCCAAATTGTATGTAGCAGCGAAGAGCCTCTTACTAATCCTCGTTTCGAAAACCACCTAACTCATATTCCAAATTATCTATTCCTTTTCCAATTGGCTTTTCTGTCTTTGAACCACGCCCACGCCCACGACCTATACCTTGCCGCCCCTAACACCGATAGAACGAATTCCAGAACGAGGGCAGCCCGTTCAACTACAACCCGCACCCGGTGGACATGAGCAACCTGACCCTGAGCAGGGAGATGCAGAACATGGCCGAGCGCCTGGCGGAGAACTCCCACGACATCTGGGCCAAGAAGAAGAACGAGGAGCTGAACGGTTGCGGTGGCGTCATCCATCCACAACTGGTGCCATACGATCTTCTGACCGACAAGGAGAAGAAGAAGGATCGTGAGCGCTCGCAGGAGTTCCTCAAGTATATGCAGTACCAGGGCTACAAGCTGCACAAGTGAGTAGTGGACGAAGACTAACAGAGTCCTGAATTCATCTTGACATGTTCCCCACTCAAGGCCATCAAAGGGAGGAGCTGTGGAAGAAGGAGGAGCCACTCAGGCTGCCGTTGAACTGCGCTTCTCGTACTCCCTGCTGGAGAAGCTCATTCAGTATCTGGACCGAGCCACCATCAACATGAAACTGCTGAAGCCATCGACCACGTTCAGTCGCCGCTCTTCCTTCAAGACGGCCACCCGGGACATCAAGTTCTTCTCGAAGGTGGTGCTGCCCCTGATGGAGAAGTACTTCTCAACGCACCGCAACTACTTCATCGCCATTGCCACGGCAACCAATAATATTGGAGCAGCCTCACTCAAGGAGAAGGAAATGGTGGCCTCGATCTTCTGCAAGCTGGCCGCTCTATTGCGTAACCGACTAAGTGCATTTGGACCGGATGTCCGCATCACAGTACGGTGCCTCCAGGTCCTGGTCAAGGGCATCGATGCACGCACCCTGACCAAGAATTGTCCCGAGTTTATTCGCACCTCTATGCTGACGTTTTTCAACCAGACGTCCGATGACTTGGGTAACACGATCCTTAACCTACAGGATGGCAAGTACAGCCACCTGAGAGGCACTCACCTGAAGACCTCCACATCGTTGGGATATGTAAACCAGGTGGTTTTGCCAGTACTTACTGCCATGTTTGATCACTTGGCAGCCTGTGACTACGGCAGCGATTTGCTTCTCGACGAGATCCAGGTGGCGTCCTACAAGATCCTGGCTGCTCTATATCATTTGGGTACCGATGGCACCCTGACGCACGACAGGAAGTATCTTAAGACCGAGATTGAGAGGCATAGACCCGCCCTGGGCTCCTGTTTGGGAGCTTACAGTTCCTGCTTTCCGGTGGCCTTCTTGGAGCCGCACCTCAACAAGCACAACCAGTACTCGCTGCTCAACCGCATTGCGGATCACTCGCTGGAGGCGCAGGACATTATGGTCAAGATGGAGAGCTGTATGCCCAATCTAGAGACCATTCTCGCCGAGGTCGACCAGTTTGTGGAGTCAGACAAGACGTACAACGATGCACCGCACATTATTGATGTGATCCTGCCGCTGCTTTGCGCCTATCTACCATTTTGGTGGTCCCAGGGTCCGGACAACGTGAGTCCCACCAGCGGCAACCACGTGACCATGGTCACAGCCGATCACATGAATCCGTTACTGCGAAATGTGCTTAAAATGATCAAGAAGAACATCGGCAACGATAATGCCCCTTGGATGACACGCATTGCGGCCTATACGCAGCAGATCATCATCAATACGTCGGAGGAGCTGCTCAAGGATCCGTTCCTACCGCTGGCGGAGCGGGTTAAGAAGCGGACTGAGAACATGCTGCACAAGGAGGACAGCATGCGCGGATTCATCAAGTCGGCCACAGACGACACTTCACAGGTGGAGACGCAGCTGCAGGAGGACTGGAACCTGCTAGTTCGAGACATATACTCGTTCTACCCCCTGCTTATAAAGTATGTGGATCTGCAGCGAAACCACTGGCTGAAGGACAACATACCAGAGGCCGAGGAGCTCTACAACCATGTGGCAGAGATCTTCAATATCTGGTCCAAGAGCCAGTACTTCCTTAAGGAGGAGCAGAACTTCATCTCTGCTAATGAGATTGACAACATGGCCCTGATCATGCCAACTGCCACTAGGAGGTCGGCCATCTCGGAAGGCGCTCCTGCCGTGGGTGGTAAAGTAAAGAAGAAGAAGAAGAACAGGGACAAGAAGCGCGACAAGGACAAGGAGGTGCAGGCCAGTCTGATGGTGGCCTGCCTGAAGCGCCTCCTGCCCGTGGGCCTGAACCTTTTCGCGGGTCGAGAGCAGGAGCTGGTGCAGCACTGCAAGGATCGGTATCTGAAGAAGATGCCCGAGTACGATGTGATCGAGTTCGCCCGCAACCAGTTGACCCTGCCGGATAAGCTGGACCCCTCGGACGAGATGTCCTGGCAGCATTACCTTTACTCAAAGCTGGGCAAGACGGAGGAACCGGTGGACGAGCAGGCGCTGGAGAAGGCCAATGTAAACTCCAACGAAAAGGGCAAGGACAAGACCCAGGAGACGGTGGATCGCATCGTGGCCATGGCCAAGGTTCTGTTTGGCCTGCACATGGTAAGTGCCGGATCAACTCCGCCCCCGACGGGATGGGACGTATCTATCTCGATCTGTCTAAATTTTAATATTTCAAACTGCACAACTCTGATGCCATCAGTTCGAGTAACTCATCTCTATTGAAACTGAACGAGCTTGTCTGTGCAACATCTCAAATCTTTCAACTCTAATCTGTTAATCACTCGATCTTTCTTTTCCTCTCGAAACATCGACAACATCAACAACATGATCAACACCAACATCGACATCGACATCGACATGCACCCACATCGCCAACTCTTCATCCACCCCGACAATTGTTGACTGAAATGCTGACCGTCCCGTGAACGAAACATTTACAGATCGACCATCCACAACAGCAGAGCAAGAATGTCTACAGGAGCGTTGTGTCGATCCAAAGGAAGCGTGCCGTAATCGCATGCTTCCGTCAGACATCGCTACATTCTCTACCCAGGTTATTACCGATTGCAGTTCACAGATTGCAGATTTAAGATTGCAGATGCAGATTGCAGATTGCAGATTGCAGATTGCCGATTGATTAGCTCTGTGGGAACCAACTAACCATACTAGTGTTCTATAAGTTTATCTGTCCTAACGCCCATTTTATCATCGTCTTCAATGGCATCAATCTAATCCGACCCCTTTTGATACTGATACTGAATTCCCACTAATAGCTAATGCACTAATGTGAGCGCCGTGTTCTAAACGCCATTTGTATTATTGTATATTTTTATGGACTTGCCGCACGCTTGCTTGCCACTTGCCAATCCGATTCCGAATCCCTTAGGCAGCCAGCTCCAAGAACAGATCCAAGCGGTGGGGTTCAAAGATCTCGGTGGCGCGTCGCCAGGCAGTCATTTCAAGCTTACGCGCCAAGCATCTTTATCGCATGAGCAGGTGGTACTCGTTCTCGTAGTCGCATCGATTGGTTCATCGCCTCCTAAGTTTCTTTAATTTTCCACCCCAAGGATCAACATCAGTTCTTATTTGTGCTTTGTGTTGCTCTCTAACTTGATTTGATTAACCATATGCATGCCAACGTGTTTTTCCAACTCTTAATAACGATCATTGCTCAAATCACTAACTATTGAACGCAATCCCCTCCAGACACCGTGCCTGCAACATCTTCGCACGAACCTACCACGAGCAGTGGCTGCAGGAGGAGAACGTGGGCCAAGAGGTGATGGTCGAAGACCTGACCCAGACGTTCGAGGACTCTGAGAAATCCAAGAAGGAGGGCGAGGAGACGGACAGCAAGCCTGATCCGCTAACCCAATTGGTTACCACCTTCTGTCGCGGCGCCATGACGGAACGCAGCGGTGCCCTCCAGGAGGATCTGCTCTACATGTCCTATGCCCAGATCGCGGCCAAGTCCACGGGCAAAGAGGAGGAGGAGGGCGGCGACGAGGAAGGCGGTGAGGGAGGCGAAGAGGGCGAAGGCACCAGCATCCATGTAAGTGCAATCCCTAAAACTAACAAAGACCCACTAACAACAGCTTGTACCCCCAAACTCCACATGTCTGACTCAGTGTCGTATGCGGCAGTTAATGGTAACTATTCCTCCAGCTGAAATAACTAAACAATCGCTTTGCTATTTTATATATCCCATACTCAGCTTAGGGCCCCAATCTCCCATATACTATTATGGCCTTAAAATATAATAAAAAAAACCATTCATTAATACCTCCACAGGAACAAGAGATGGAGAAGCAGAAACTGCTCTTCCACCAGGCACGTCTCTCCAATCGTGGCGTTGCCGAAATGGTGCTGTTGCACATTTCCGCCTCCAAAGGTATACCTTCGGAGATGGTAATGACGACACTCAATCTCGGCATCGCCATTCTGCGCGGTGGCAACATCGACATCCAAATGGGCATGCTGAACCACTTGAAGGAAAAGAAGGACGTCGGCTTCTTCACGTCCATCGCCGGACTGATGAACTCCTGCAGTGTACTGGACCTGGACGCCTTCGAGCGAAACACCAAAGCAGAGGGTAAGTCCATCCGCCCGAGTTCCCACGCGTCCACCTCCACCAGCTTTAAGTTGCCGTGCCCCTTATATTTGGTTCGCATACTTCTTAGTTCGATTAGTCTATTGATTTGTGTCTACTTCCATCCAACTGATTTCCCAACCACCCAACACCACCATGCCTCGCATGCCATTACCACCAACCAACCAACCACCAACCCACCAATCCCGTGTACGTGATTCCCGCTATCGTTGTACCAATCCACCCAAATTTGTCACACGAACAAAGAGTATATTCCGAGTGCGGGTGCAGGTCTTGGTGTAGGTTCCGAGGGCGCCGCGGGCGAGAAGAACATGCACGATGCGGAGTTCACCTGTGCGCTGTTCCGGTTCATCCAGCTGACCTGTGAGGGCCACAATTTGGGTGAGTAATGTGGGTGAAGAGAGTTGAGAACGCGTGATCCTCAAGCTCATCCCTTGCAGAATGGCAAAACTATTTGAGGACCCAGGCCGGTAACACCACCACCGTAAACGTGGTCATCTGCACTGTGGATTACTTGCTGCGTCTGCAAGAGTCCATCATGGACTTCTACTGGCACTACTCGAGCAAAGAGATCATCGATCCCGCTGGAAAGGCCAACTTCTTCAAGGCCATCGAAGTGGCCAGCCAAGTATTCAACACGCTCACTGAGGTCATCCAGGGTCCTTGTACCCTCAATCAGCAGGCCTTGGCACACTCGAGGTTGTGGGATGCAGTTGGTGGCTTCCTCTTCCTGTTCTCTCACATGCAAGACAAACTGTCGAAGCACTCCAGCCAAGTTGATCTGCTCAAGGAACTGCTGAATCTACAAAAGGACATGATCACCATGATGCTTTCCATGCTGGAGGGAAATGTTGTTAACGGTATGCGAATTGGCTCTCCAACCTTGGATGACTAACGCAGATTAATATCCGATTCAACAGGCACTATTGGCAAACAGATGGTGGACACCCTGGTGGAGTCCGCCAGCAATGTGGAGCTGATTCTCAAGTACTTCGACATGTTCCTGAAGCTCGCCGACCTTATTGAATCACCAAGCTTCCACGAAGTGGATATGAAGAACGAGGGCTGGGTGACCCCCAAAGACTTTAGAGAAAAGATGGAGCAATCCAAGAACTACACACCGTAAGTGAAGATCAAGTACTCGCAGTCACAAATTATAACGCTCCGTTTTACAGGGAAGAAATGGATTTCCTTTTGGCCTGCTGCGAGCGCAACCACGAGGGCAAGATCGATTACCGGGCCTTCGTGGAGCACTTCCACGAACCATCAAAGGAGATCGGTTTCAACCTGGCTGTGCTCCTGACCAACCTCAGCGAACACATGCCAAACGAACCACGCCTGGCGCGCTTCCTGGAGACCGCCGGCTCGGTGCTCAACTACTTTGAGCCCTTCCTGGGCCGCATCGAGATTCTCGGCAGCTCCAAGCGCATCGAGCGCGTGTACTTCGAGATCAAGGACTCGAACATCGAGCAGTGGGAGAAGCCCCAGATTCGCGAGTCCAAACGTGCCTTCTTCTATTCCATCGTCACCGAGGGCGGCGACAAGGAGAAACTAGAGGCCTTTGTGAACTTCTGTGAGGACGCCATCTTTGAGATGACCCACGCCTCGGGACTGATGGCCACGGATGATGGCGGTGGCAATGTGAAGCGGGATACTGCCTATAGTTCCTACATGAGCGAGGAGGAGGAAGAGCGAGCTGCTCGTGATCCCATCCGACGCACCATCACCGCCGTCAAAGAAGGACTCAAGTTCGGAGTGCACATGCTTAGTCCGGCGAACATCAAGCACCAGATCGGCGTGATGCAGACCAAATCCATACCAGAACTTATTGTCGGCTTTTTCAAGATCATCTTTTATATATTCTACTATACCGGATACGCGCACTTCTGCGTGGTGCGCTACATATTCGGAATCCTACTGAACCTCATGCGAGGACCTGCGCCGGAGCAGGAGGAGGAACCGGTGGTGGAGGAGGAAACGTTTGGAAGAGCACTGCCACCATTGCCGCTGGAAGAACCGCCGGGCACAGTGCAAGCCTTCGGACTGGACATCAACAAGGAGGATAACGGCATGTACAAGGTGGTGGTGCACGAGTCTCCAGCCAATTCCTCGATGGAGGAGGGCGGAGAATCCAGTCCCGAGGACGGAACAGCTCCCAGCGGGGAATTGGTCGAAGGTGAACCACACCAGGAGCCCATTTCCATTGTGGATCTCCTGGGTGGAGAGGCTGCAAAGAAGGCGGCACAGGAGCGGCAGGAGGCGCAAAAGGCTCAGGAGGCCGCAATGGCCTCCATCGAGGCGGAAGCCAAGAAGTCCTCATCTGCGCCTCAGGAGACTCCAGCCGTCCACCAGATCGACTTCTCGCAGTACACCCATCGCGCCGTTAGCTTCCTGGCCAGGAACTTTTACAACCTTAAGTATGTGGCCCTGGTGCTGGCTTTCAGCATTAACTTTATGCTACTTTTCTACAAAGTCACCTCGTTTACCGAAGAAGCGGACAGCTCTGCCGAGGAGGAGCTCATTCTGGGCTCCGGGTCGGGAGGGGGTGCGGACATCACGGGCTCTGGCTTTGGCGGATCAGGGGACGGGGGATCGGGCGATGGCGAAATGGAGGACGAGATACCGGAACTTGTGCACGTGGACGAAGACTTCTTCTACATGGAACACGTTCTTCGCATTGCGGCATGCCTTCACTCACTTGTCTCTCTGGCCATGTTGATTGCCTACTACCATCTGAAGGTTCCACTGGCCATCTTCAAGCGGGAGAAGGAGATTGCCCGCCGGCTGGAGTTCGAGGGATTGTTCATTGCGGAGCAGCCGGAGGATGACGACTTCAAGTCGCACTGGGACAAGCTTGTTATTTCTGCGAAAAGTTTCCCGGTGAACTACTGGGACAAGTTCGTGAAGAAGAAGGTGCGCCAAAAGTACAGCGAGACCTACGACTTTGACTCGATCTCCAATCTGCTGGGCATGGAAAAGAGCACATTCGCGGCTCAGGAGAGCGAGGAAACGGGCATCTTTAAGTACATCATGAACATCGACTGGCGCTATCAGGTGTGGAAGGCTGGCGTTACCTTCACGGACAACGCCTTCCTCTACTCGCTGTGGTACTTCAGCTTCTCGGTTATGGGTAACTTCAACAACTTCTTCTTTGCCGCCCATCTGCTCGATGTGGCCGTGGGTTTCAAGACCCTGCGTACCATTCTGCAGTCTGTAACCCACAACGGCAAGCAACTGGTTCTGACCGTGATGCTGCTCACCATCATAGTATACATCTACACTGTGATTGCGTTCAACTTCTTCAGGAAGTTCTACATCCAAGAGGAGGACGAGGAGGTGGACAAGAAGTGCCACGACATGTTAACCTGCTTCGTGTTCCATCTGTACAAGGGTGTGAGAGCGGGCGGTGGAATAGGTGACGAGATCGGGGATCCGGATGGAGACGACTACGAGGTCTATCGCATCATCTTCGACATCACGTTCTTTTTCTTCGTGATCATTATCCTGCTGGCCATTATCCAGGGTCTGATCATCGACGCCTTCGGCGAGCTGCGTGACCAACTGGAGTCGGTGAAGGACAACATGGAGTCCAACTGCTTCATCTGCGGGATGGGCAAGGACTTCTTTGACATAGTACCGCACGGCTTCGACACGCACGTCCAGAAGGAGCACAACTTGGCCAACTACATGTTCTTCCTGATGCATTTGATTAACAAGCCGGACACGGAGTATACCGGCCAGGAGACGTACGTGTGGAACATGTACCAGCAACGCAGCTGGGACTTCTTCCCGGTGGGAGACTGCTTCCGCAAGCAATACGAGGATGAGCTTTCTGGCGGAGGCGGCGGCGGTTAAAAGACGATTCGCTGCGTCTGTTTTCTGGGCACAATCACACGGGCACTGGACGGTCCAAGGACTCTCGGGATCCACTTTTGTATCGGTAATTTGACAACATCTGGAATTTTTACCTAGTCAACTTTAGCAATGTATTTTAAGCAATATCCTACACAATCGTTTTTATGTACGTAGGAGTACGACCTGTTTCCAAACTGAAATATTGATGACGATTCTAGCACGTATAACAACAAATGTTCTTAACTCATTTTGAAATAAATCTATTCATTTTGAACGATACTGTATTTATTCGATATATTATTTATTCTCGCTTAGATCGCCAAGAGGAACAAATTTTGCTTCGGTTAATATTTAATTACTTTTTGAATTTGAGATAAGTCCCAGATATCAATGCTGGTTAGTCGAATTATTTACAAGAGAGAAAATGCTTGTAAATTTTTTGAACACCTTCATATTGTAAAAACAGTCATTTGATTTACATATATTTAGTTCTACATCGAATATTGTTCTTCAAATATAAATTTAACTATCTGTACGTTTTACTAGACATTTATAAAGTTACTTAGTAGTTTTAAACGTTTTTGTTTACTTTTATTTTTATTTATTTACAAATACATTAACCTTTCAAGTTCAGTATCAATAACGATTTCATCGTATAAAGCTTATAAGAAGTGACAGTGACTTGTTGCAGTAACCACAATTGTATTTCCGAAAACTTAATTTTTGGTTGTTCACTTAAACTGAATTATCAAATTTTCAACTTTTCAACTACCAACGAATTAAATCAAATGTAATACTCAACATTAATTTAGGCAACCGATCACATAATTTACAATCGTGTACATTTATCATACGATTCGAACATTACGATAAATCACAGTTGAATGCGGACAAACGTTACGTATGAAAATTTAATTACATTACAATCCAGACTTGTAATTTTCCTAATCTAACATGTGCGGTTAGTGCAAATTGAAGTGTGAGTATATGCAAATACAGCTATATATGCTGTATATATGTATATTTGACTAAAGCTTTCACAACTATAGCCCGCCCGCTGGGGGCCGATAGATAAAAATAAATATATATGGGGGTTGTTACGAAGGCTGGGGCGATTGACTAGCGGAAGTTGTACAGCTGAAAGTAGTACAGCATCAAGACAATGAAGATGGCGGCAAAGTATCAGTAATCGAGCCGCTTCTTCAGGCGGAAAAACTCGGCATTGTCGATGCTTGTCAGATTGTCCATGTTAAGGTTGCGCAACGTCTTCACGCCGGACAGTCGCTCCTCCAAGTCTGTGTACATGCTCCGGCATCGGTAGATTGACAGCGTCTGCAAACAGCTGCAGTTGGTAATGATGGCGTCCAGCGTGTGCTCCGTCAACTGGCTGCAGCCGCTGATGTGCAGAGCCTTCAGGCGGGGCAACTTAGCTGTTACCACCTGGATGGTCTTGTCCGTAATGTTGTAGCAGTCGGATAGGTCGAGCTCCTCAATAGATGGACAGCTGCTGGCCATTGCCTCCATGCCCAGCAGCGAAATCTGCTGGCAGCTGGATAGCAACAGACGCCTCAGCTCGATGTGCTTCAGCCCATATTTCAAGGATACATCGCTTATCTTATTGCAGCCGCGCAAGTTTAACGATTGCAATCCACGCAACTGCTGAATATTGTGACCTTCGAAATCGTCCTCGCGTATCAGATTCATTTCGTAGGCGGCCAGCATGACCTGCTTTCGCCGGGCATCCCGAACAATCTCATCCTCGGCCTTGCTTCTGAGCGATATCTTGATTGACTGCAGAGAACCCGCCAGGCTGTCTCGTTCCGCCAGCGTGTTCGAGTACAGCGGGTAGAAGTTATCCATCGACGACACCTGCGATCCGGACTGCTTGCGACTCACCTCTAGCTTGGATATGTTTATACCTGTGAGGGCTGCATCGGTCAGCTATATGGAAATAAGAACGAGTTACAAGGAGGATCAAAATTTATCGCAATTTTCAATCTTACCCCACTACAGTGCTCTAGAGAGAGCTCGCGAAGCCAACGCAGCTGGCCGATGACCGACTGGATAGCCTCATCGGTGGCACCATTGACGCAGTGGTTCAAGTGCAGTGATCGCAGACATCGTAAATTACTGGCAATGGCCTTGATACATTCCTCGCAGATTTGTAAGTATGACACGTTCAGCTCCTGCATTACTGGGTTCTCTTCGCTAGCGATGCCTTCAATGATGCCGCTGCTTGTCAAGTTGTCACAGTTTGAAATGTCCAGACTTTTGAGTCGCTTCAGCTTGGCCAAGTGGATGGCTCCAGCATTTGTAATGCTCAGGCAGCCGTTCACCTTTAAGTGCTCCAGCTGCGGATTAGTTTGTACCAGGGCGGCCAGATTCTCATCGTTCACACACATTGTGGCCGACAAATCAAGTGCACACAACTGGGGCTGGGTGGCTAGAAAGTTCCGGATTGTGGTGCAGTTAAGCTGTCTGCATCCGGCCAGATAGAGCCGCTGCAGCTGGAGATTGAGGTCGCAGAGCGCCAACAAAGCCTGGCCAATCAGGGTGTGGCTAAAGTTCAGCACGCGGAGAGTACGACGCTGCAGGTTCAGAATGGTGAGGATAAACTTGAAAGTAAGCACAGATTCGCTGGGCAAAACGTGATCAGAGGAGCTGGTAGCAGGGTAAAATCTGCGATGAATGGCATTGTGAAAGGCTATGTGACAGCCGGACATGTTGATCGCCTCCAGACTGGGCATGAAAGATGTGAGGCGCATCAGAATAGCATCAGTGAGGTACTGGTTCTCGCACAACGTCAGCTCCTTGATGCCGGCCAGGTTACTTGCCAGGTCGTTTAGGTCAGGACAGGAGTTGTTGTAAGAGTCCAGGAAAGAGCCGGACATAAACAGAGGCAGACAGCGCTTCAGCGACAGCGAGTGGAGATGGGGCAGCACGCCCAGCATGCCGTAGAACTGTTTGTCGTTCAAATCCACATTGTCCAGAGCCAGGGAATGAGCGGTCCTGCCCATAAAGCGCATCAACTCCTTCACTTGTCCCAGTGTCACGTCTTCAAACAGGAAGTGCTGGAAACGACGCTCGCAGCGCATCAGGTCCAGTCCAGGACTCAATTGGTCCGATAGCACCACCTTTGAGAAGCAGACTCTCGTGCGCATGTTAAACTCCGCCTGATCCAGGGCCGCATGCCATCGCTGGCAGGTGGATCCTGCCGCTTGTAGGTCCGAGTAGCCCAGATAGCTGAAAATCTTCAAAACAATCTGGTGGCGGAGCAAAAAAAAACAAAATCAGCTGACTGCCCTAACAGGTATATGGATATGTAGATATAGATACGCTCGAAATGATGGATTGGTCACGGGACCGCGGCCGTCCGTTCCCATTATACACTCACCTCCAGCGGCAGATCATCGTATCTGTGCAGCCCATACTCTGAACAAGACATTACTATACTGTTTCCAGATGCAAAATGTTAAATTTAGCACAACCAACTAGCAGCTCCCACCGCCCACAAACTTTGCCCGCAAACTACCCAAAAACTATAGTGTTGACTAACTTAGTCCCTGTGCTAGGTACAGTATGACCGTAAAGACTTCCTATTCTAGCTGGTCTGTAAAATACCAGACGAAAATGTACGTTCATTAGATTCCCAATTATATTTTTTGAGGCTCAATAATTATTACTGCAGATACCAGCATTTTAAATTAAAAAAAAAAATTCCCTAAAATCAACTGATTTCAAATAGCACATAAAGCTCTTGCATATTTAAAAAATTTTTGCGCTTATGAATATAATAAATTAGGTACAATAAATAAGACACTCTTATAACGAAGTATAAACTACAATCGCTCAATTAGAAATTTTACTTTACCGAAAGAAGATATTTTTCAAGACTTCTTATTCTTGACCGTTACAAATATTACCCGACTTTTTTTAAGCGAATATTTTTTCAATACCTGTATTTAAATTCCCTCTCCAATGAAAGTTGCACTATGGCATTTGTGTGGTAATTGCGCACGGTCACTTTTTTTATGACATCAGATTGAATTGATTGTTGCAAAAAAAGGATTTTTGCAAAGTTTACAACTATTTCGTTGCCCACGGATTTCGGACACCGCCTTCGACGTGCCCACAATAATGGCCGATCCCAAATTTCAGAATCTGCCGGGAATAGTAAGTCGGAATGCGGACTTCCATGGCAGTGACGTTTGAGCTTTGGATTTTGGCTTACTTTACTTTTGGCTTTACTTTTTAACTTACTTAATGTTTTTCAGGCTTATGACCAGCCGGATGTTTACGAAACTCCCGATGACCCGGAGCCCGATACATCCGACTATTATGAAGAGGACCCGGAGAACGAAGCCATCGAGCGAATGCATATCTCTCCGAGCGTCGCCCACAAGCGATTCAGCGGAGCAACGCTCGAGGGAAGTGTGGACTTCACGGATCGGATTGGGCGCCGCATGTGCAGAGGGTACGATGCCCGCGGGTCCAGCGACTACGAGCTGGTCGGACAGGGCGAGAAGGAGACACCGGTGCAAAAGTGCCAACGCTTGCAGATCGAGATGAACGAACTTCTGAACGAGGTTGCCGCCCTGCAGGTGGACCGCAAGGTAGCCGACGAGGAGAAGCAGTCGTACGATGCAGTGGCCACTGTTATCAGCACGGCCCGAAAGGTACTGGAGTCGCTGAAACTGGAGCAAGTGCTGGGCAAGGAGCAGACGCCTGGCAGTAAGCAGGTGAAAGCTCTCATCAGCCAGGTGGAGGAGTTCAAGCAGTCCGGCGTACTCACGGCCATACCCACGCCTGGCACCGATCTGGCGGCCACTGCCCGCGTGGCCAGCCTAGAGCAACGACTTTCGCAGCTGGAAAAGGTGGTTGGTGCCCAGCCGGACAAGCTGAGCCGTCTTACCGCCGCCACCAACACCACCAATGTACTAGAGGCCGTGCGTCATCTCAGCACTAAGGCGGCCCTGATACAGCCCGATAAACTGGACACCATCGAGCAGCGCCTGACCTCGCTGGCTGGAAAAATGGATGCAATCGCCGAGAAGTCAAGCGGCAGTGCCCAGGACGC